CTTGAATTATTTGCTTAGCAAATAATGGAATAGGTATGGAGAAAGGATACAACCCTGACACATGCTTTTCTTAAATATAAAACATGCACTGTTCCCTTGCTCTGTTGACACAACAGCTTCTTGGTCTAGGTCTAGGTTTCACATAAGCACTACTAGGTGTTCTGTTCTATTCTCTCAATGTTAGCCATAATTTACTATGATCTACACAGTCAAAAGCCTTTGCATAGTCCATAAAGCACAAATAGTCTTCTAATATTCTTTGCTTTTGGCCAGCATCCATCTGACATCAGCAATGATTTACAGCTCTGGAAATAGTATGTTCTCATTAAGTGTCCTCAAGTCGAGTGCAGCTCACAGTGATCCTCTGAACAAGAAGAGGGCTGAACGTCCTATCTTGTGCTATCCTTCTTATCTCTAAAGCATTTTAGCCCACTACTGCAGTCACTGGGTCAACTGATCTCATTGATGGTCTTCCTCTTTTATGCTCTCAGCCTTTCCATGGGGCAGTTCGACTCCATCCTACATTGTTGCTAAAAGCTGGAATTGGTTTCGAGAGTTTTTCCTTTCCTAAGGCTTTGTTTTTTGCATATCAATGCTTATTTCTTAAGACTATGTTACCTCACTATACCTGTGCAACTTTTCTTTCTGTCTGACTCTGAAGGTCACCAGAACAAGCAGCTCTGTGTTTTGTTTTTTTTTGGGGGGGGTTTTTTTTTGGTATTATATAAAAAGTTCTTTCTTTTCTCTAATAGTAGTGGACTAGGAAGCAGAAGTTCCATCTTCATTCTTTCCAGAAGCTTCTCTAGTGTCTCTAGATCATTTTCGTCTTGGGAGGTGTGGGTATGGTGAGGGTGGCCATACTGTATAATTATTTGCTATAAAATAATTTTAAAATAAAAGAGCTGCCAAAACATTGTGTTATGAGCTGAGAATATAGGAAGACGCACACAATTAGTTCTGACTTGAATGAAATGTCTTCCAGATTATGATCAACCGTCGACTAGAAACTGCACTCTCTTTAACAAAAAAAAAACACAGGCAAGAGAGTAAGTTCTTTTATGAATGAACTAATATTAAATAATATGAGGAAATTTTAAACATATGTAATTCACTTGTGAATATTATAGTCTTGTATGATTTTTCACCTAATATTCTATTTTAGAATTATATTTTAATGCTGTAAACTTGCATTAAACTCTTGGGTTCCATAAAGAAGCATATGGTTAAACAAAACCTGTTTCAAATTGAAAAAAAATATATTCAGCAGAAATTGATACTTTAAAAGCAAAGATGTATTTTAATAACTAGGTATTAACTATTTTCCTAAACATTAAAGTCAAGGATGATTGCATTTCTTTTAATATAACTATATAAATGAAAGGTTATTGATACTTGCTTCAGTCAAATGTTCCAGGTATTACACACGCCCACATTTTTATATCTAGATCTTTGGTGGAGCAGGACATAGAATGTTATGCTGCTAATCCAAACATGACACCTCTTCGGTGGTTTTAATCCATCAATTACAGAACAAAGATGGCCAATCTCCTCTTGTGCAATTAAAAAACAAATGTCCAATTCATTACCATCAATTTGGGACAGGCTCATAGCTGACCCTCCTTGGCTTTCCAGAGCCTATAAATCACATGATAGGAGATTGTTGATTTTTCTGCATGAAGCAGTTGGTGGCTTCAACTGCTTGTGTGATTTACAGTCTTAGAAAACTAACTGAAGGTCAGCTATGAATTGGTTCTAACTTGATGGTAATGAATGAGTGATTGAGAAATATATGGGGGGTATTAATGTGTTAACTTTACCAATTATTATCTTATAAATTATGAATTTAATGTCCTAGGAAGTGTCTTTTTGTTTGTTTGTTTGTAAACTCTAAGCACTGAGGCAGAAAAGAGGTATTATAAATACAGGTCAGAAGTATTTAAGTTTTGATCACATAGTTTTGTTGGCATCAAACTTTTTTGTGTACTTCCATACAAGAAAACATGCTGTAAAGCTAGCTATGAGCTGCCACTATACAATAGCTGAAGAGGATAGGTCAACTCCACATAGAGGTGGCTTCAACTCAACTCAACTCAACTCAAGACCTTTACATAGCTGGTCCTCTAGTGAGTTCTCCGAGGCATTAAGTCTCACAGCAGGAGATTGCCCATCTTTCTACCACAAAGCTTGTAGATTCAAACAGTCCATTTTTGGGTTGGTAGCATAATTCTTTATCCACTAGGCCATGAGTGATTACTCCCTACAAAACCAACTATCTTTGTTTTTGAAAAGTCTAGATAGTTTTGTCATCCTAATGGCAGGTTGCTCACAATACCAATAATTTTTTCCCTCTTGATAATGAGTTTGAACATAACAAATATTTTCTTTTATGCTGAAATATATTTTTATGTTGGAATATTATATTTACCACTTTTCCCTCCCTTCCTTCCTTCCTTCTTTCCTTCCTTCCTTCCACCTTTTTATAGATTAAAATATTTTAAAGTATACTTTTTTACCCAATACTGTTAATAACA